TTTCACATGTCAACAGCTTTTGCCCTTCCAGGTGTTGAACCCGAGCTGGCTGACGACCCACCAGCACCACCAGTCGTTGAAGGTCCAGAGGTACCACCAGCAGCCGGTGTGCGAGAAGAGGGGGGTTCATCAGATGGCGATTCGGAGCGTGAGATGCCTGTGGATAGAATGCGAAGGCTTGTGGCAGAAGCCAACTCCCTCGAGCACAGACTGTGCCACTATCCCAAGAACGCTTCGTGCCCTATCTGTCAGCGGTCACGAATGTATCGGAAGCGTGTCCGTAAACACAGGCATGATCCGCTGGCAGATCGTGGAGCGCTCGCTCCTGTGACTCAGTTCGGGGAGAGAATTGCAACAGACTTCGTAATAGTCCAAAAGCTAAGTTCAGGAAAAGAACATGTTGTCCAAGTCATCAGAGATGAGTACTCGGGATGGATCAGGGCTTTTCCTCTGAGTAAGCGAGACACAGCTTCAGTCGTTGGGAACATCCTTGCATTCCTAGGGCCATCCTTTGATCAACCTTCAATAATGGTCAAGTCAGATCAAGCGGTAGAAACCAGGGCAGCTTGTAAGCAACTGGGGTGCAAGTTTGAAGGAACTCTGGAGAATCGGTTTCCCCATAACTCCACTCTAGAGCGTGACATCCGAACAATCCAGGAAGTCGCAAGAGCTTGCCATCTCCAGGCGGGTTTTGACATTGTGCCAGGCTTGTGGATGCACTCGATTGAATATGCTGCAGTCATGTTCAATGCTCATCAGAAAGCTGCTGGTAAAGATCAGACAAGACACATGCTTGCCGTTGGTGTTGAATTCTCGGGCAGGAAGTTGTTGTTGGGTCAATTGGTTCACTATCATGTGGATGCATCCCAAAGGGGTAAATTTGATCCATCATCCAAACCGGGTTTATTCGCAGGCTGGAGGTATGATGCAGGGCCACATTCCCATAAAGCTATCTACTATGTCTTGGATTATGGCAGGTTGAAGGAGAGGGGTCCAGGGTATGCAAATGCTATCTCTGTTCCAGCTGAAGAGCTGTTTGTTGAAGAAAGGGAGCCGTCACTTCCGTTGAAGCGGGCTGCAGATGACGCTTTGGCAAGATTCACAGACCCGTCGCTAGAAGACATTGCTCCTCTCGACATTCCCTTTTCAGATATAGCCATTGAAAACAAAATCAAGCGTAACGAATATATCACCCTTGAGCGCATCATCCGCTTTGGTGCCACCAGAAGGCTGTCGTGCATGTAGGTTCGAAGCCGAATACAGCAAGCACACAGCAATCTGCAGAGCGAGGTTCAACGGACTAATCCGGGCTGAGCGCATAGCGTCGTCCAGGGCAGGTGGGTCAAAGACTCCATTGCCAGTTCCTGAGACGCCAACCGCATCTGTTCCAGTGCCGCCCACTCCAGCCCCAGAGACGGCTGATGATGAGTTTGCAGGTGCTGCCCCGGAGGATTTGCCTTTTAGTGCCGGAATCCCACCAGATCGTGCGGCAATAGGTAAGGTCCTTGAACTAGATGAGTTGTTTGTTGAGACTTGTCGAATGAGAAATCGATTTCGCAGACTTCACAAACTGGTAGGGGAAAACATGTTGTTCGAGTTTGCATGTTCCAATGATTCAATACTGGGTCAGGTGTCGTCTTCCATTGGGGTAGAGTGCATTCGGCTCAGTCGGGACGTGTTGGACTTGACAGACCCGTTGCAATTGTCACAGGCCTTAGGTCAGATCGATGCTGTGCCAGGAGCGGACACATGGGTTTCGGTTGTGTGCGCTCATCACAGTCCGTTGCAGCATTTGAACAAACATTTGCACGGTCAACCATATCAAAAGAAATTAAAGAAGAAACAGAAAGAGTCGATTGCCTTGCTTCGCAGCGCAGAAAAGTTCATTGAGAAAGTTCTGAGTCACGGTGGTCGGGCTGCCTTCGAGTTGCCAGCTGAAAATGAGTTGTGGAAAGACCCACAGTGGTTGGAGTTTGAACAACGCCAATGTATGAAGCGGGTCTATTTCAACGGCTGTGCACTCGAAAACAGGGTAAGCTGATTAAGAAACCTTGGGCAGTTAGTACAACTGACATTCGACTCATTCAATTTCTCTCTCAGCACAAATGTACTGGGGACCATGAACATGAGCCTGCGATGGGTGGTAATGCAGCACACACTGCATACTACACCATGGAAATGGCATCGGTAATCCTAGAAGCCCTTTACCCCCACAAGTTCTATCGTTCCGTCCCATCTGTTGTGAGCGGTTCCGCCCTCGTCACACTCAATCTCAGCCGAAGTCAGTGGTTGAAAGATGAAAAAGGTGTGCAGGCCGTTCAACACGAGGCACAAGGTCTTCGACAAAATCAGACCTGGGACGATGCTTCGGTGGACACCATACAGAACTGGAAGGCATGGGCCAGAAACACAGGCACAAAGATTCACATTGCAGATTTGCTGACGCTGTGCGGCATAAAGCATTATGAATTGGAGCCTTCTCTGTGGAAGTATAAGGGTAGAATAGTATACAGGGGAGATAGAATTCGGGATTCAGATGGCAACGTGGTCTTGTTCCAGGAGACCGCCCCTAGTCCCACAGCCATCATTGCCTTGCAGATCACTCTGTGGTTTGGGATGCTCCCAGATCATATCGTGACTTGTAGTGACGCCGTTCAGGCATTCCTGCAAAGCTGGTTGGACGAGGATGAGTACACACTTGTTCTCATGCCGATCGAACTCTGGTTGCCAAGTTGGAAAGCCACGTTCGGAGAAGCGGCCAGGCTAGCAGTACGTTTGCAGAAGAGCTTGTACGGTCATCCAATGGCCGGAAAGTGGTGGCAGAATCATCTTTCTTCGTGTCTGGTCTCGTTAGGTGGAATTGAATTGCAGGAACACCCCAGCAACTTCATTTTTCGATGGAACCCAAGTGAGCATGGAGGAGAGAGGTGAATCAAGAATTCGTCCTTTTACTTAACGTGTATGTGGATGACCTGACCCTTAGCGGTCATCGTTCGTGCCATTCATCATTTTGGAAAGTCTTAGCTGCCAAGGTGAAACTAGAGCCGTTCCAAGAGGTTGATGTTTCAGGTCACTTAATTTTAGGTCGCAGACACTTCATCGAGAGGAGTCCATCGCATACTAAGGTCACATTTGACATGCGTACTTATGTAGATCGGGTAGTTGGGACATACTGTGAGCTGACAGGGATCAGTCAACAGTCTCTCAAGAGGGTCACAACGCCGATCTTCCCGGAAAGTTCCATGACCGATCAGGAGCTGTCACAGACGGGTGAGCTTAGTGGCTTGGCATCAAAAGTTCTCATGCGAGCGCTTTGGCTCTCGCGGCTGGCAAGACCTGACATCAGCTTCATCGTTGGTCGTCTTACCACAATGGTGACCAGATGGTCGAGATTCGAGGACTGGCAATTGCATAGATGCATTTGCTATCTTCATCACAGTCGAGACAAGGTCCTAGTCGGACACCTCGATCATGAGCATGAACATGAAGTATCAATAGAGGTTTACACGGACAGCGACTTTGCCGCTTGCCCTCATAGCGCCAAGAGTACTTCTGGCATTATGATCGCCCTCAAAACAGGCCAAGCAATGTACCCACTGTACTGGTGCAGCCGAAAGCAGTCCAGCGTCGCAAGGAGCACGCCGGAAGCAGAGCTCATTGCGATGTCGACAGCGATGTTTACCGAGGTGTTCAATGTTCAAACCATGTTGGAACACCTTATGCAGCGACAGGTGCCTGTAAACTATAGACAGGACAACCAGGCTGTGGTGCAGATTTTGGAAACCGGATATTCTGCAAAATTGCGCCATGCACCGCGGGTGCACAGAGTCAATGTAAGCTCTGTTCACGAGGTTCTCACTCCTGAACATGACCATGCAGTTTGGTATACACAGACCACGGAGCAAATTGCAAATGGCCTAACGAAGGTGATCACTCCTGCCGAATGGCCGGCTATGTTGGAGCAGCTGTGCATTTTCGACTTTTCCGTAAACTCCGAAACATGAACTGGTATGTTTTCTTGGAATTGCCCATGCTCCGGCGTGATGCTTTGGTTCCGGGAATCTGACACATTGCACGTACAGAACGAGGGGGGAGTTGATGGAATGCATGTAAAGCATAGCATTCTTTGACGTCTTCTCATGCAATATGTGTCACTCATCATTTTGCTTACGCGACTTTGCATTTTGGCTCAAGCACTGCGGAAAAAGGCGTTTGCGCGTGGTGCTTGCCGTTGCTACACTAAACTACCAACTTTGGCTGTGGTTGGTGAGTTTAACTAACTTAACTAACATTATACAACATCTAGTATATACATGTGCTATTTCTTTTCGATCATTTCAGAACATCTCATTGGCAAATCTCTCTTCCTCCTTACGAAGCTCCGTAGGACCTGTAGTTGAGGACCTCTCAACATGCAAACCGGGCACGACCGGACGGAAGGACGGAAACGCAACGCGGACGACCGCGGTCGGCGAAGGGGCTCGGAGGCACCCATCCCCGCATATGTGTGTTCGTCGCTTCCATCCAACCCGGACTGAGTCATGATGAACTTGATTCAGTACACATCCGAGTTTCTTCTTTATTTCAAGCTTGTCTGGCACATGGAAGCCCTCCAAAACGTGGAAGAAATGGCAATCGTCAAAAAAGAAAGGTCTCCGCTTTCAATCAGAGACCTCCGAAGTGCGTGGACAAGCTGCCCAAGGTTTTTGGTGTATATTGGATGGGTTTGTCCTACTAAAGTGGTTTTAGAGTAGATGGCACAATCCTCTAAAAGGTGGTCTATATAGAGCCATGGCCCTGCGAACAAACAATGACTGGTATTTCGCTCCTTGGGGCACCTTTTTCCTCACTTTCCATCACTGTTTGCTTCACCGATTTCCAAATCAGACCGGCATATCTCGAGTCACACCGGTCTCCAAATCAGACCGGCATATCTCGAGTCACACCGCCCACGACTCGTCGTTTGTCGTTGCGCTCGTCGCACGGCTTCGTCACGCGAGGCGTCCAGTGAGTTGAAGGAGGGTCCCTTGTTGCCTCCCGAGGAGCTCAAGAAGGGAGCTGGGGCGTCCTTTGCTGCGTTCTTTTCAGTTCAGTATAGAGGTTGTATAAGACACTCTCACCCAGACACTCCATGCAAATGGTACTGTATACATCGACCTCTGAAGCTGCATTAATGTTGAATATGGCAGTCCCATGGAATGGTTGGGTAAGGTGACGTTCTTCTTCTAAGTCCATTGACATGTTGTGGATTTTGACATGGTGTTCCCTGAGATCTAGGGATCCAGCCGTACCTTCTCAGAAGGTACTTGGCCCTCCTGGCGCCGTGTCGAACACATCACCTGTCTCAGAGGGTGTGTGGATCCCTAGGGAGAGTCCAGGACTATGGATTAAAACTCACTTCTTGTGACCTCCGCTAGATCTACTCCGTTGGACTCTTCGGCTTCGTTGGACTTCGGCGTCATACAAAGAACTTCTCTATCCAACCATCTTCCCACCATGTACAGACCCCACTCATTTGTGCCATATCCCCACTCCGGTCAAAGCCCACTCCGGTCAAGCCAGGATTCTGTGAACTGGAAGTTGTTCCCTTTACATTGCCTCCGTCAATACGTCCCGAACCCATGGGGTCCGGAAGTTCAGCTGGTTGGACAGTTCAACCAGTGGTTTCCCCCCGAACCTCGTGGTTTTTCAGAGTCCCAGGCGGTGTTCTTCCAGGGCAATTGGTTTCCCCAAAGGTCCGGAAGTTCGGTGTTTGGCCTTTTTGAACCACTCGAAGTTCATGGGTTTTAACCTCGAACCAGTCTCCACCGTGAACCAGTCCACCAGTCCCACCAGCCACTAAACCAACGTCCGTGGCGCACTAAACCAAGGGTCCGGGACCAAACCAAGGGTCCGGGACCAGACGGCCCAGGTCTGCAAGTACTTGCAGAACACGGTGACCAAGTTCAGTGCCTCCGCCTCCGTGGTCGCGGACCCGGAGGCGTGGACGACGTTTTCGGTCCAGCGGGACCCGGGTCCGCGGACGGTGTTTGAGGGGGAAGTGTCCAAGCCTCATTGTGGGGGCGAAGAGGGAAGTCCAATGGCCGTTGACCTTCATTTTGGATGTGGGAGGCAGAAGATGTTTTTGGATAGCTTGGGTATAAGTATACTCAAGGCTTGACTTGGTGATGAACATTGATGAACACTAGGTCCCAAGAGTTGGTACGCCTCTGGTTTTGCATCCAAACACTTACAACACACCAAGACAACACACTGATAAGTGTGTTCATTTCGCCATCGTTTCGTATCTCCAAGCAGCTCCGAATAGGGAGGTGCTTCTCGCCGAAAAGACGATCGATCGGCATGGCGTTCAGGCGTCAAAACGGAAGGCGTCAACGAACGGATGAGACGGAGTGGCGTAGCTAGATGCATAGAGAGAGAGAGAGAGATGAAACAACTCTGTACCTGGACCCTCCAACAGGTCTCCTCTGGTGGCTTTTGCAAACTGAAAAGTCGCAGTTGTTGTGGTGACCTGGCAGTGAGGGTGCTGGTAGGCTGTCTTTCTCTTCCTTCGCCTGTGTAGGGTCTGTCAATGTCCCACTCCTGCGAACACTCTGGAACTTGCTTTGCCCAAGAAAGGACACGTCCCATGGTCAAACCCTCATGACTTCGGAAGAGGTGGCCAACATGAAGGGCCATCTTTCCTATCGGTCAGTTAACCTTTTTGGGGGGGGATTTATTTATCCAGTAAAGATGACACGATGGCAAAAGGTAGACCATTTTTGCACCTGAAACTGATGTGGCCAACACCAAGGCTTTTTTGTTTGCAGAGAGTTGGGTCTATTTGCTGGCCATGATTCAAACAGCTTGGGCTCTTCCGCCGATGACCTCCACAAAATACGCCGATGACCTCCTTGCACCCAGTCTTTGATGCCCTCCGGTCTGTGCCTTCCTAAGCCGTGACATGGCTGGGAACAGTCGCACCTTGACTTTTCATGGCCTTGTGGCTTCAAGTTCATCAACCTGCCTATCTCATGTGAAGCAACGACAATTCCATCTAAAGCCACCACAGTGAGCTTTCAAGCGAGAAATACACAATGCAGATGCCGAATGCCACCTATGTGTGAGATGTACTTGGACCCTCCAAAGTACTCCAGAAGATGGGACATGACCCTATAAAGATAGGTACTTGTAACTTGCATCAATTTTCCGAGGTACATACGTAGACTCCAGGTATACGGATGTATGCTGTATTCTTTTGGGTGTGCAGTTTGAGTGGAGGACCAGTGCCAGAATGTCAGATTCTATCAGCACAACGAGCCACCTATAATATACAGCAACAACCTGAGTCACTATTTCCGCAACCAGCCACCTTCACCGACCACCTTTGGCGCCCAAAAGATATTCCAAACGAGTGTGCACCGGTTTTTGCCTACAATCCATGTCCCTTTTAGCTTTTTCCACCTACTGTCATAGATACCCAGATACTATGGGACTGGGATAGTTAGTGGAATAGTTTAATAGTTAGTTATATATACATACATTATACATTGGCCCATCTATGGCCCTAATGCAGGTAACTATTCCTTTCCCATGGATGGTCTGGGATAGGTGGTTGGATCACTAATCTTTCCTCAAAGCAGGGTCACTTTCGACCCGGTTGCCACCCACCAAACATATGTACCCTCAAAAAGAACAGTGACCAGGTGCTGCTGGAGTCACAGTGACCTTGTAGGGGGTTGTGCCACAGGAAACGGGAAACTGCTGTCGGAACCTTTCTCCTGTTGAGTCGCAACCTCAGAACATGGCACAGGACATCCAAGAGAGGTTGAACAGCCTTATAGCCTAGCACAGCCCATATGTACCACAGACCAGGGTCCGAACGTTCAGGTCTCTCAACCTTGGATGAAAAGAAAAAGACTATCCAAGGAGCAGGGACTCCACTTCGGGGTCTCAGGGTCTTCTGAAGGTCTACACTATGACTCACCAACGCCCTTGGAAGACGACTGTCCTTATACGATCATGGCATGTTATCCACTTACATCTGAGTTCCAGGGAGGGTAGTAGGACAGAATGCAGCTGAATATCCCACGACCAACTGCTCGGAGTCCTGCTCGGCAACCGCTCGGGTATACCCAACGGGCCCAACTGGGCGCGAAGAAGCGAATCGCTCGGAGCGTGTGACGCCTCGAGGAGGCAAAGAATGCACTGACACCCATCGCGGAAGAGGCGCACGGGTCACGGGTCGCGTGTGACGGACGCAGCAAAACAGCCAGCCGGTGGTGTTGGAAGTTAACATATTATAACATATTTTTTGATTGAAGCGAGGTGCGCAAAGCTTTGGCAGGCTTCTTGGGTTGGTTGATTTCCTTGACAATGAGAAGGATTGTTGTTTAATGCTTTTATTTTTTTTTGTGGAGTCAACCTTAGGTTTCAACATGTTTCTTTCCCATTCCTAAATAGGGGTTGCTGTGTTAGTTGAATTCCCGACTGTGAATGTGAGGATTTCTTGGTACTGTATAGATATTGGAGTCCCGGAACACACTGCCTTGTGTTTGTTTCTCTGCGCGTATACTACAGAGCGCGGTTCCGTCAAACCACAGCTGTGTTGGACTATTTAGAGTGTTCAACCTGCAGTGTTTTTCCAAGAGTACACACATGCAAGCAGCTGCAAGCAGTAGTGAAGCCTTTACTTGTCCGGCTATCAAGTTGCTGTTAGGATCATGCGACTTTGTGAGTTGTGTCAACTATGGGGGATCTTGGGATCTTTGGCTGACACATCGACTTGGATGGATCCGAACCATGTGTGCTGTGCATGGCTTTTGTCATCTGGACCAGCAGACAAAGCCTTTGGTCAACACTTGAGTTCGAAGTGATTAAAGATGACAATGACATTCTTGTTACTATAGAGTAGTATACAGTATTGCACTTGTTACTCAAGCATCCTTGCTACTAGTAGCAATGCGCCTTGTTACTATATTGTCTTCTCGCCACCGGGTTACCCATGCGTCGCTCCGAAGCTATTGCCAGGTGATCAAAGCGTTCACAGCCACGCTGGGCACCTTGCTGTCCATCAGCAGCGGTGCAGGTGGGCACCGCACCGGCAGCTGCATCCCAAGTAATGCGTCCGTCACGAGTCACCAAAGAAACCAAGAAAACACGCGGACCGCCCCCAGAGGCACCCGGGGTGCTGATCATGGACATCCCTTAGCACCTGATGTTTTTTGTCGGGGGCGTGCGGCTGAATGCTCCTCCGTGGTGGTGGTGAAGCCGGATGGTTCTAGGATGCATGGAGTCGGAGTCCGTGGTCCTGGGCCGTGACCCGAACCAAAGCGACCAAAAGCAGGGTTAGTACTGTCCTGGGGCCCTTATATGGTGTTTTTGTACTGGTTGGCACTGGTCAAACTCCATCTTCCACATCAGTTGCACCATTTTGGTGGCTAAAGGCCACCCTGGAGTTCAAGCTTCGGTTTGTGGAGCCTGTTGGTTTTCAGGCTTCCACCAAGAAAGATCTTGCGGGTGCTACCGGAGGGGTCCTCTCCGTCTCGGTCGTGTTTCCGGGACCGGGCGCCCGTGGGGCTGTTTTCAAGCGTCGACGGGTTTCGTTCGGAGCGTCGGAGCTTGGGCTGTGTTTGTTGTGTCAAACCGTTTGAAGGATAGACCTAAGTCTAAGATGGTTTATAAGGATCCTATTCAGAAGGAGTCGGGAAGCGTCGATCCTGTTAAGGCTGTAATTGTCGGGCTTTGACGGTGAGACGGCCAAAGCAACACAGAGTCCATTTCACGAGGCAAGTCGCAGTTCGCAATCCTTGTACCAGCAGAGGTTGAAGATCCCTATAGACTATCCCATATAGGTACCCCTGTAGGTTGATAGTTCAGATCACTTAACCTCTGTAGGTCCTACAGGTACTCTCCATTCGCTTGCCGAATCCGGCTGAATCGTCGTCCATTCAGCACCCTCGGAGCGCCACGACCCGCGCGCCGCATGACGCACGCGTGGTTCGCCAGGCGCGTCTTTGGCGAAAGAGTTGCAGGCCGGCGTGGGCGATGCGAGTCGGCGAGTCTTTGGAACGATGGAAGAGACACAGTATAGATGGACCCTCCTGTCGGGGTGTCCAATGGACTACACCACACTACCTATAGGCTTCCACCCCTTGGAGGGTCCTGGTAGATGGCAGTTTTGGTCAATACCACCGGAACATCATGTTTTTTCAAAACCGAACATGAACGGATTCCTAGATATGAACCTTCCATGGTTTGGTGGAAAAGGTGCCATGACGAAACCAGCCAAATGCCAAATGGTCTACGCAAACATGCCAACTGGCCAGACTTTCGTTGATGTGGAGCAGTTTTGCTTCAGTGCTATCTTATTATCTTATCTACCCATCAAAAGCGGGAGCCGTGGCCTTTCCCGGCGGGCTAGGGGTGTTAGGGGTCATGCAGGAAATTGGGCCTATAGAGGTTCAAGGAGATATCAACAAATACATGGCCAGACCATGCAAGGGACTGGAACACCCGCAGAACTTCCAATGACTCATAACCCCCGTGTCCATGTACTCTCTCCAATGACACGGACTGGGCCACGAATATCGTCCGGTCCCCTACGGCAGACAAGGGTCAGCCGAAACATGGGTTTGCCCATATCTAGCCAGGGCTGAAGAAGTGAATCTGCTGTCTTGCACAAAGATTTGCAAATCACATGCATGCCTCCTTTTGTCGAGCGTGCCTCAATTTTGTGAGTGCCGATTCTCAGCGCGGCTGGCCTGGCAAGGAGACACTGCAAGGGATTTGTCGGCGAGTTGATGACCGCCTCACCACGAAGTGGAAGATGGACAGTCCGTCGAGCTCAAACCTTGCGCAGCTGGGCCAACCAAACTCTTGCATACTTGTCCATGTTCTCCATTGCCTTCTTACTGGCCGGGTGCCTTTCGGCCGTGAAAGGGCGTGCGAATGCCATGTGGCTGGAGAGGTTGAGTATACTCACTTGCGGTAGAGAGGTGGCGCCATCGGCAAGCCATGTCATTTCTCAGACCGTGATCGCCGCCGGCGGAAGCCGGCTCGTGATGCTCGGCGGCGGCCGAGCTACTGCGCAAAGCCAGAGACACAGCCAGGAGCTCGCAGAGCTGCAGCGCTCCCGGAGAACACAGGTGTTGTGTTGTGCCCATGGTGTGCCTGATTGTCACTCATTTGTGTTTATGAGGCTTCCACAGGATGAAGGGTCAAGGATAGCTCTTTGGGCCCATGCCACAATTGCAAGGCTTTTGGCGGCCAGACTTTCTGCTGGTCTGGACCCATTTCTGCGTGAAAACCAGTATGGTTTCAGACCAGGCCGCAGCACCAACGAAGCTGTCTTTTTGATTCGGCGCCTACAAGATTTGGTTGCGAAACGAAACCAGGCGCTTTTCTTGCTCTTCCTCGACTGGAGTAAAGCTTTTGACACTATCAACCCGGAAGCCCTTCACCTCGCCCTTATAGACGCTTGAAGCTGCCGCCCAACATGTGCCGTGCCATGCGCGACCTTACTGTCAAGGGTGAGGTCTCCAACCCGAAGATGCAGGCAAGTGGCATTCGGCAAGGTTGCACATTGTCCCCACTTCTATTTGCTTTGCAAACTATTATGTTCCATGATATCCAAAAGGAGTTCCTTCAACAACACCCGCTGGCTGTCACCCCAACTGTTCCCTTCTTTGATGTGGAGTTCGCAGATGATACGTTTTTGATCGCTCGCAATAGTGAGCATCTGCATGGGCTCTTCCATTTGGTTCAAGCGGAGGCTTCTAAGTACAATTTGCACCTCAAATTGGGTAAATGTAAGCTTGTCTTGTATAACACTGAGACTGGCATATATTTTCGTGATGGGACTACGGTGCCTAAAGCGACCTCAGTCATGTATTTGGGTGCACTGATCGATGCGAAAGGGCGCCCTGGCCACGAGGTTACAAAAAGATCAGGGATACACAGCAGGTTTTCAAAACACTCATGCGGGTTTGGAAGCACACTAGGATTGCGATTAAGCGCAAGCTTAGTATCTATTATGCCTGTGTGGTCAGTAAACTTATGTACAGTTTGTGCACACTTTGCTTGACGGAGAAGCAACAAACGCTTCTTGACTCATTCCACATCCGTTGTTTACGTTCAATAGCCAGCATCCCTTCCACCTGGGGTGCAACAGTTCTTGGAATTGAACGTGTGACAAATGAGCAAATTCGTTGCAACATGAATGTGGTTCACTTATCGGATGAACTCCGGCTGCAACAACTCACTCTCCTAGGGCACATTCTTCGAAGGCCACCCACCCACCCAGCGCGCGTTGTGACATTCAACCGTTTTGCTTGGTGGGCCTTTTATGAAAGGAGCGCGGAGTGGAATGATGTTATCCTGCAGATCGCAACGACCATGGTTAACGACCATGACTTCCGAGGGGCAGGCGTAGAAAAGTATGTTTTGCAAAAGTTATTTGAGGTAGCGCAGAACAGGAATGCATGGTCCGACCTCTTAAAAACGCCCGGATTTCTTGGCGCCGCCCACGGGATGCTGCTGGCGCCCCACGGCAGTGAAAAACATCAGAACCCGGAAGCGAAAGCAGCACTGAGCTCCGCCCAGGGTCTTGGCTCTCACTAGCCTCGGTCTGGCGAGGTAGTCTGGGGGGCACCTGGGCCAGGGAGGCCATATTGAAATTTGTTTGAATTGTGCTTGAGATTGTGAGTGATCAACCACGTCTGTGTTGCAAAAAGACAATATTGGCAAACCTGCCGTGAGGGTTTGATGCTGCGCACGCGTTCAGAGACGAAGTAAATGTAACGCTGTGCTCCTTTTGGAAAAGGATGGAAAAGGGTGTTGGCCTGGACGCTCCCCGGTCTGGCAGGGCCCAGGGCCACCCAAGGTTCCTACCTCGGTCTGGCGAGGTAGAGTGGGGAACCTGGGCCAGGGGGAGGCCCTTGTGCTCGAGATTGTTCACAAGTTGACCAACATATAGATCTACGCTGCGAAACTAAAAAGGAATCCGGCCGTGAGTTTTCTATACAGCACACATACCTGGACGTCCAAAGTACATCGGACAATGGAACATTGTCCTTTTAACAAAAAAATGTTGTAGGTACGAATTGAGACCCCAGGTGATGTTCCAATCCATTGCGTTCTTTTTTACGGACCACCATTCTTGTTTGGATCATCCACCATTTTGCAAGGAACAACTTGGAGGGTCCGGTGAGATTGTTATCACCTTATGGGGACTTCGGCTCACAAACACAGCGCCTTGTAGAGCAAAACAAGTCGTCCACACTTTCATGAGTCGTTAACTTCAATCAAACTTAACCATCAAACTAAAATAGAGCCCCTCCTGGAAGACTCCCTGCCCATTGGCTACATGTGTTCACACCTGTTGCACCACAGACTTTGAAACCAATAACGGATCCACCTCCCCTTACAACCAACCTGCTCCCACATGTCGCTGGCCAGGAGAGCGGGCGGCAACTCACCGAAGCCCTGGACGCTTTGGGCTCCGCGGTTTGCACGGGACACTTGGCCACCTGCGCCGCCAAGGCGGCGAGCTCGACCCGCAAAAGCGGCAGGGTTTGGGCGTTTGATGTGGCATGCGCAAAGGGTTCCGTGGATCGAAGTCGGAGGAAATTAGGCCGTGAATGAAGGCGATTGAAGGTTCAAAAGCACATTGGAATCAGTTGTTCCAGCCCCAAAAAACCGACTCGTTGAGAAGACGAAGAGAAAGGGCCAACTTAGCCTTGCGAGAAGCAGGATCATCTCGTATACGGGAGGTTGCACTCATGGTGAGGGTAGTAAAAGAACTTCTTGACGAGCCAGAATAGCAGAGGTCCTTCTGAAGTAGGCCAGGTTTGCTATTTTTCACTCACATCTTCGTGGAAACAGGGCTGTCTAGACCATAATTTTATCCCAGAAAAAAACTGCAAATGTCAACTGGATTCATAAGACACCCCCTACTTTCAATTTGATGAGTTCCATCCAGCGGTTGAGTACTCTCTCAGGTGGACGAAATTCACTTTCAACCTGCTCATGGTGGGATTTTTCGCTGGTCGACGAGTTTTAGGGTTGTCGTTGTTTTCGTCTACCAGGTGGTTGGTGCCACCAGGACACCCCAAGGCCAATTGGTGGATATTGGGGCACTCCAAACACTACTCCCTTGGGATGATCTAGGTCGTATGTGTTTATGTTGACTTTCGACGCTTTCACCATCTGTACACCTTTGTCTTTGTGTGGCCTGTCACCTTCTGTACACCTCGATCTTCAAGAGTTTAAGACATTCCTTGGGCGGTCGGCGAAGCCATGCCTTGCAGTTGAAATCGGTTTGTCATGTCTCCTCCAAACTCAAGGTATCAGAGTTTTTCGCCGTTCTGGTCTTGCTTAGCACTCGTTGGCTTCACGCCTGGACGCTCCAGTTCGTACCTTGGAACATCTTGAGGCCCCAGTACTCAGTCCTCATATTCCTGCGTCTGTGCGACGTTGGAAGGTCCTGGAGTACGCGGCTTCCTTGGAACAGAGCTCTACCAAGAACCGGGCAGCCCTGATGAGGAAGCTGCTGAATCGTTCGGTTAGAAGGTCTAGAAGGTCTCAATTAATCTTCGAAGGTCGCTGGGTTGGTTGACCCGGGTCTCTAATGACAAATCAAGCTTATAGGAGACCCGGTTACCCGGGTAGCTTATAGCTTAGTGGGTCGCTGGGTCACTTAATTCGCGCCAACAGAGAACCCCAGAAAGCTTCAGCCTGATTCGATGTCATGGGGGGGAGCTGGGGAGCTTCCGACCGTCAAACACACGGGAGCGGACCGGAGCGACCATGACCATCAAAGCCAACGGTTGTTGCATGGCAATATATACCTGGAACCTGAATGATCTGAATGATATTTTTTTGGACCACCAACCACTCAAAATATGTGTGTGTTTTCCTATAAACATTGAGGTCAAATGGTGTAAAATTCCAGTCTGGTGGGTGAATCCGCTGCACCCATCCCAACAGATGGCTCCATTGGATCGTCAATTGACTGTGGAGTGACCATGGGTCAAATAACTCCAGGCTATGCTTGTTATAATCCTCTCAAAGTACCTTAGAACATGGGTACAACGGCCGTACCTTCCAAAACAGGGCCATGACTCGAGCAAACAATTAGATCATAAGGGCCCCAGACTTCACCGCGGCACACACAGGTCGACTCCGGTGAAACTGGCCTCCTCTGGAAAGCGGGTGAGGAACGAACGCGCCGAACGCGCCGAACGAGCGAACTGGAGGAGGCTGCTGAAGTCGTTGTCGCAGCTCCGGGATGCCAATCGTGAGATGCAGGAGGCCGAAGCGGTGAAACAACGTGGCGTCGGTGGAGCGTTCGGTTAAGCGTATTGAATGAATGAATGATGCACAGTCTCAGGTGTGACTGAAGCTGTTCGCCACTTCATTGCGGTGGGGTTGTTATCACACCCTATGGGATCCAAGTACCTTCTCAGAAGGTGATTGGAGACACTGCTATGTAGCTTTGGAGGGTTCAAGTGCCTTCTGAGAAGGTAGGACTGGATCCCTACAAACAAGATGAGGAGGCATTTCTCTAGCCTTTGGGGTGGTCTATTTCTTGATTCCAAAAGACGACTATGAAGAAGCACCCCGAACGACCGACCTTTCCGGGAAGACTTTTGGAGTCTTCATGTGGATGAAACAAGGTGAAACGGGATCAAACAACCAGCTACCTTCTCAGAAAATGATCCTCCTGGCACCTACATAGATCCATAGGGCAGAGGGGCAAGATACCAGAAGCACCCTGCCAACCGCCTGCTGGACGGTGATTGATGGTTCTCTGTTTGAAGATGATATCATTAACACAAACAAAAACAAGAGGTAGTACCATATGGTACACCCCATTCCAATGTCTAGTTGGAGGGTCCAGGTCTGGACATCATACCTATAGGACAGGCCTGCTGGAAGCCTTCCACCCTTCAAATAAGTAAGAGCACATCGTTTTAGGACGTGAAGTCAAAGGGGTGTTTTTGTTATCTTCCACCACCCTGGGATGCTTCAGAAAAACTCCTGAGAACAGGTGTAGGATTCTATGAAAAGTGAAGAGACTCAGAGATTCTTTCAGAACACATACATGCACAACAATCCTTGGAACCTGAATCCGAAACCCACTTTCATCCGTGGAACCCTTGATACAGCATGTTGCAGTCCTATGCAGTCCTTTGTTTGATCGGGATTGATGTATATGTTCTGTTAGCTGTATGTAGGCCAGGTGTGCGCTTTGGTAAACCAGCAAATAAGAGTACTTTGTACCAGGACCCACTGTCGGGGTGGTTAATGGACACCCCGAATCACCTCTTTTGGGGGCTATCAATCGACACCCCTTAGGGTCCTGGTATGGAGTTATTTGACCCATGGTCACTCCACAGTCGACGGTCCAATGGAGCCATCTGTTGGGATGGGTGCGGATTCACCCATCAGACTGTATTTGATGGCGTTTTTCTTGTTGCTTTTGACTACCAGCAGAGGTGGGTCAGAACCCGAACTAGACTATCCTAGTTCGGTACCGTCCTAGGTCAGGTCACTGGCTACCTCTGTAGGTAGCTGTTTTCCCGGAGCTCCGCTCGAGCGCCACCAACCAAAACGCGCGAACGAGGCTCGGTGGTTCCACGTTCGCTTCGTGCGTTCTGCGTGGGGTCCACGATTCGTGCCAAAAGGGAGTGGTGGAAATCTTAATTGGATTTGAAGGATGGAGGGTGATTTGTGATGTAGTTCTTGAACTAAGAGATTCTTGAATTGAATTCAAACACCCTCCATCCTTTTGTTCTTGAATGTTCTTGAGTTGTTCTTGTTGAACTTTTTTTAAATGGTTTCGAGGTGTTTGTTGAACTATGGGTGCCTTCAGAAGACGGACACGTCGCCATGACTCATCGCACCGCCGTCGGCGCTCAAGGAGCTGGACGGTGGCTCCACGGCCGTCGACATCACCAGCGGTGACGAGGATCTTCGCGCGCGACGTGGGAGGCGGCGGGGCGCCCTCGGCGACTGGAGAAAAGCTCCGGGGCAGAGGGAACCAAGAGAGGTTGAACAGCCTTTTTTTCGCCCATCCCGTACCTTATGCGACGTAGTCGGGTCCGACTTTGTTTAGGTCTCTCATTCTCTTATTGGTTGGGGGTTTGTGAGGATTCAAGTTTTTACGTTGGACCTGACGGACAAAAGGGTCGCACCGTGGAACGTGGGACCAAAAATGACAGGTACCAGGACCCCCGGACCAGGGGTGTCGATTAGCCCCGAAAAGAGGTTATATACAGGGTGTCCATGAACCACCCCGACACTGGGTCGTATAATACTATACGTTGGTTTACTCATTTTGGGAGGAACGTGCAGGTTGACGCCGGTCTTGCAAGTCCTGCTTGGGACCCGAAACTCGGCGCTCATAACGGCGAAGACGCTGTTCGGCACCTCAAAAAGAGGGTATGTGGATCCATACTGCGCCCGGGGGGGGTGGTTAATGGACATCCCAGCCTCTAAGGGGCCGATTCTTAGACACCCCTGAGGTCTGGGCGTGGATGTTGGTGTTTAAAATATGAAGTGCTTGAGATGTTTTGTGATCGCCAAGTGTTTGTTCCTCAGGTGTGAGACATCGTGGGATTTGCCAGGGGATGTAACAATGGATTGACCAAAATGCAAGTGTTGTTGGCAAAAAAAATCAAGCATTCTTGGTGTGTTTGTGTGTCTGTGTGTCTCTCTCTTCAACATTTGTCTATGAACAAGGGTTTACCCTCTGACTCACTGGAACAATGGAAGTGGAACATGGTCACTCACATGGGTGTCTTCCAAGGTCAGTTTGCGTGGACGCAGGAGCTCCTGGACGATGAGGACGACCTGGTGATGCCACCCATGGACCCCAGCGAAAGGCAGGTCTGCGGAACGGGTTTGTGGTCGGGATGGAATGAAACCCGGTTGCAGTGGATTTAGGTGATCTTAATGTAGTATAAATATACCTAAATCCATTACAGTACATCCTATGTAGTACCCATTTGTACTATCTTAATGGATTTAGCATGATCCTGTTACAATTTTACAATTCAATGTACCAGGATCATGCTGTTTGGGTGTCCAATAGACCACCCTACGTATATAGGTCTCCAGACTCCAGACTGGGCACTATTCCTTAATTGTAATTACATATCGAAGGTTTGGGATATCATCGGACCAAATCGGTTGCATGGTCTGTAAAAAGGGGGGCTTTACACAGAGGGTATCTTTTTCCATCCCGCAAGAGGTGCCTATAACATCCAATAACCATACCTGGACACGACGTCAAGTACTCTAGAAAATGGGACATTACGTATACCAGAAATGATCCACTTTCCGAAGTACTTGGAGATTCCAGGTAGATTTGTTGTTCCATTACTCAGTCTACTGCCTTCAGGGTTCCTTGTTCTATTCACCAGTGGTTTACATCTTGAGGGATGTGCGGAAAAACGAAAACGGTCGGATTTGGACACCGGAGTTTTGAGGTATATGTTATGGCCGAAAGTTCGCAGAGCGGATTTTAGGTTGATGTTTTTTGTGTTTAAATGGTCTTGTTAAAGGGTCGGGTTTCTGGCACATTAAATGGCAATGGACTTCTATTGATCGCACATCCATGAATCAAGGAATGCAAAGTTCCTTTGGGGAGGTCCTAGTAGGTGATCCGTGTAGTTCCTGAGTACAGGTTCCCATGCAAACTGAGTTTTCTAGCAAGTGGCATGAGTTCGTGAGGGGGTCAAGGTGCCCAAGGATACATGGTAAGACCATGTGTACCTGATGTTTGCGGATTAGGTGGCACCCAAATAGATACAGAAACGCTTTTCAATATGTTTTTATAGGGTATCTACTTGTCTATGTTTTATGTTCCTATAGGTCAGGACCCTCCTTGCGAGGAATGCTATTTACATGTGGTTTTCCGGGGTTTTGGACAGCAAATCACGGCAAGATCGACCCTGGAGCTTCTCGCTTTGTATGCATTGGGGCCCCCAGTCGTATGACCGGTTTGGCTGCACGTTTGCTGCAGTCTGCGAGCCCAGTCGGCTCGAGCACGTCGACCTGGTTTTAACATGGACGGCATGAGGTTGCCAGGGTTGGGTCATGTTCCGAAGACCCAGCTTGGTCAGACAAGGGTCCAATTTCTTCAAAGAAACATGGGCATGTGCTTTCGTGGTCTTCGGAGTATATATTACTTTGGAACACAAGCGAACACCGAGCGCGGTTTCTTTCCGTTTCATGCCCGAACGCCGGAAACCGCGCCACGAGTCTGTGGCACGAGCGTCCACTCGATTGAGCCACCCGCTGGCAGGAAACTTTTAGAACACGTCTTGTGCATCTCTGCACACTTTGAAGAGATTGTTAAGGAGGTGGGGGGGTGCGAGGGGAGGGTGAAACACTGAGCGAGAACATGATGGATCTCTCAAGAAGTGAAGTGGTTAAAGCCACACCGTATATACAGACCCCCAATAGATAAGCAGTTTGTAAATCCCCGCTATAAATGTATTGGAAACTGTGCCACTAGATCTATTTGGGGACCACTAGTTTCCCATCAGCCAGGAGTTTCCCAAGCCGGGTCCTTTGGGCCCGGGTCCCGCAGGCTCCTTCACCGGGCCAACGTTGGATGTTTGGTTCTGATAGGGCACTTGATCTCGAATCCCTATGCGTTCCAACCATCAAATTGGAACTATAAGGACGTTTAGAGTTAACATCCCACCCTTGCGGTCGCCGCAGCGGTGAGAGAGTTTAGACCAACACCTGCCGTCTTCTCAGGTCTCGGAACCCTCGACGGCTCGTGACGGTCACGAGACCTGCTGACGTCGCTGGTTCGAACCGTTCACGCCGCGTTTGTGGGTTACCCGACTCGCTGGGAGTGTTCGGATGGGACGTCACTGGGGAAGCACGGAGCACCTAGGGTGGATCACCTACCCACTTGCTTATAGGAACAGGGGGGAAACCCCCTGTTCCTATCCTCCCATGCCCAAAAGCTGGGATGTTCCTGGGAACCTGAGGGGGGTCAAAGGTCACTGAAGGATCCCAGCTTCCTCTGGCACGAAGTGAAGACCAGGGAAGAAGCAGAATTCAATTCAGGACTTTGGATTTCGTGTGAAGAAGAGGTTTTTGGTCGGCCTGTCACGACACGTCACGACACCGAAGACGTTGGAGGGGTTGTTCCTGCCGTTCGCTGGATCTGGGTCGACCCTTGGGAAAAAACGGATGGAAGGGCCGCAGGGCCTCGAGTTCCTGGAGAGAAGTGACGAGTCATTGAGTCCATGATTGCCGAATCCAAAGCACAGACCAGACAAATGGGACTGGAAGAGTTACCTACATGGAAGGTTCATAAATTGGGGTCAAGCTATGTGACGTTCTTCAATAGTCCCATGGCGTGTCTGGGCAGGTTCTCTCTTTCGCATATCTCAACTTGGAAAGTCCTGTAGCGGTCACGTCGGACGCCGGATGGATGGCCAGTCGAATCCACGGCCGGCTTTGCTTTTCAGAAAGGACCTTGCACCGGCACTGAACTCGATCTCCCTTGCCTGAAGAGGGCCCAAAACCATGCCCTGAAAACCTCAACACAGGGACTTGAGACCTCCAGCCCAGGAGGGTCTGTACTCTCCAGTCGGGGTCGCCCGATCATGGCCCTTTGGGTAGAGCTCGAGTGGTCGAAGCGAGCTGTAGAGATTCAGGTGGAACCCATGGGCTCCTGGAGTGATCGTGGTCAGCCACTTTGGGGGCCCAAGCACCTATCTCCAAGGAGTGCTATTCTGCCGAACGTGGCAGCGGTTCCATTCCCCGCCCCAAGTGGATTTGAGCGTTCCAGGAACACGCGCGGTCGTTGGTGCAGCTCATGCACTTGAAGTCACCCCCCCTTTTCGGCTCCACAGCCGCCCAAAACCCGTTGTCTCGAACGCTCGATCACCCGCGCCGCTTCGTCGGTGCGCGTGTCCCGCAGAGATGCATGTTCAACTTCTGAAAGATCTGAAGCATGACAGCATGATACGCTAATCCCTAGGGCTCCTGGCCCATACGCTCAGGTTGGGTGGTTAGACCCATGGCGCCCACCCCAACCATCTTCGAAACGGAGGTAGTTGGAGCCGTAGGGAATTTAAGACATGACATGACATGTTCATGCGTATTTTAAAATTGTGAGTGGGATTGACATGTAGCTTGACTGGATGATGTAATCTTTTGGGCTTGGGACTCCGACCATAATTTACTTCTATTGGGCTTGGCACAAACAGAACAGAACGATGACAGGAACCCCCAAGAAAGAGTCAACAGCCAGTGCAAAAACGTGGCAAGCAGGTGGTGGATGGTGGTGAACTTACGCTCGTGTGAGTCTCAAGTCGCAGGTCGGACACTTCAACCCAGCCTTTGGAAGCAAATCTGCCTCAAACACATGATAGTACTGTACCCGCTGAAGTCCAAAAACGCCCCGCTGAAGTCTGGAATGTCCTCTTCGGGTCACCGGGTAAGACCAGTAAGACCATGGGACTTTGAAGGTATTTGGAATCCGACTCCGGTGTCCGAGTGAGACCTGAGCAATACCACCTTTCCCAACTGATCTGGCAGGGTCCCAGGATTCCCAGGTGTTTGAGGGTTGCCCGGGCAGCGTTGAGGGCCGCCCCCAATGAAAAGAGCTTCTTAGTTTGCCCTTGTTCATGGCTAGGACTGGCAACTCAACACTCATCACCATGTGAAACATGTGGCAACCAAGCTGGTTCGGATGTGTTGGGATGTGTTCCGGGTTGGGGTTCTGATTGCTCAAAAATTGCACCAAACAAACCTGGGAGCGGCATCGCGAACCGAACGGAGCGTTCGAACGCTACGATGCCCGGGGCGAAACTGGCCGTACGAACGGAGCAAGAAGCTACTATAGTTCCAATGCCATGTTTTCGTCGCCATGACCGCTCCTCCACCAGCGGCGTGGCGGGTCATCAGCGAGAATGGCGCTTTGGTCCGAGAAGAGGCCGCGACCTGGAGGAAGGCAGCCTATACGCAGCCCCGAAAAACGCATCCCTTATGGATCCACAACGATCCACACCCGGTGTTGGAAGAGCAACGGACTGGAAGACGAGCTTCCTTAAGAAACCCGGGTTTTGAGGTTCTGATATTCCAGGGAGTACCTGCTGAGATGGTGATGTGTGTCGACCAGACACTTACCCTGTCTGACGGCACCAGGAGGGTCTGGATCCGACGGCATCCTTGTTTCGTCGACTTCGTTTCGCCACGTCGACGGCGTTTCGCTTCGTCGACTGGTGTCGTGTGTTCCCCTCGAAGACCGTCAACTAGAGACCAGCCGAGAAGGAGTAGGCCCCTTGTCCATTGATTCATTCCTTGGAAGCAGCTGGTTGGCAGTCTCAGACCTTTAGAAAAGAAGAACATGAATTGAAGAAGCTCTAAAGTCTTAAATTACCTTAATTAGAAGATATGGAAACATATACCTCTTTGTTTTTCGGGTCAGGTCCCATTTTCTGAAGTGTTTGAAGTCGGGTCCATGTCCAGGCCTGACATCATAGATCGGACGGGGGTTTCGTGTTCTAGGTCCAAGTCGCAACTGGGATTCCATGTGTTTTGTTGCAAGAGAACATGTCCAATTACTTGTTTTGCTCCTTCTGCTTGGCGTGGCTCCAACGTTGGTTTGCAAATTCATGTCACAATCATTGCTTCGTGACTGGAAATGTGTGGTTTTGACTGCGACATGATCTTGACAAGTAGAATCATCATGGCTCATGTGCTTTCCCTGTATCCTTGATTCATCTTGTTTCCTATAGGCAATGATTTGGCTCTATTAATTGCCTTCCCAGTCACCTTACAACATAAGATGACTAGCCAGGACAGCGGTCGGACAGCAACACAGCCATACAACAGGATGCATGAAGTCACGACGTCGCTTTGAAACCTCCAACAATCTCCCTAGACCTCCAAGTACCTTCTGAGAAGGGGTTTGGGGTAGGTTTGGAGGGTCCAAATACCTTCTGAGCAGGTACTTGGAGGTGTAGGGTCTTGGATGGACCGGACCAAGCACTTTTTCTTTAAACGAGATGTACCATCTAAATCCGGCAGGACTCCAACTGCCACCCAGAGGATTCGTCCCTCGGGAGGACCACACCCCTCCCATCAATTGGTTCAACGGGGCGTCGTCGCACACCCCATTCACGGCTGGGATCTACTGCCAGCCTCTGAGAAACTGAGCAGGGAGACTCTTTTGATGGTTCGGTGCTGGGGTCGGGTGAACCTCATTAAAAAAAAAAAAACACCTTGCATCCGAACGCCACGGTCTCTTGGAACGCCGACATTGTTTCTTCCAAGTTCGTTACTTCGCAACACCTTCCGATGGGTTCCGCCGTAAAACTCCGGCAGCCGGTTCCCTTCGCCCCCGGCGAGGCGGACTTGAAAAGTCGTGAGCTGGGACGTGTGACCACGGGCGCGGTGCTCTTGCAGGAGGACGCGCAGCCCGTCCCGGTGATGCCGGAACGGAGTGAAACCGTGGGACGATGGAGGGTGTGAAATCATGTTATCCGTTATGTAGGCGCCAGGATCCAATTGCCTTCGTTTCGAAGATGGTTGGAGTGGGTGCCATGGGGGGTCTAACTACCGAACCTGAGGAGATGGGGCGTTCGGAGCCCTAGGGACTATTATTAGCAGCTAGCAAACCTTGTTACGTATACTATAGTAGTAAGGCCACGAGCCCCGAAGGTCGTGTCCGACGCTCCGTTCGAGTCGCGATGCCAGGAGCCCCGTTCGTAGCTTCTTGGTCCGAATGTTCTAAAACTGGGTTGGCCTTTCGGACATTTTTTATTTTTTGCTTTTTTGGGCTAGTGCTGGGCTTATATGATATAATAAGTTTAATAGTTAAACTATGGACTGACCACCACTGGACTGACTAGACTGGCTCAAACTTACTGTCTGACTCAAACCACCCTTCACCTTCATACCCTCATGGTTCATACTCAAACCACTGTTCATATGATAAGCGTTCTTCCCATTCTGAAATCATTCTGAAGTTAATTATAATATCTCATGGGCTATATTGTCACTGTCTGACTTGGACTGTCATCACTTCCATTCACTTCAGTGTCATACTTCGTCATAGCCTGACTTGCCGATCATGGAAGAGCCGGAAGAGCTTGACAAGTACGACGAGACAGGCGACATTGCCCGGTGTGACTCGAGTCTGACTAGAGCGCTCTAGTATGTAACATGAAAGTGGAATCAGAAGTATTGATATGCGGTAGCAGCCCCATGGTCCCTTGATGGGTTCACCCGCCTGACTTGCCAGGTAGACTGGAGGGAGTTGATCCTTCCAGATTGACTTCAACAACTTCATCCCCATTGTGGTGATTGACAGGCGTGCTTGGTGGGAGGAGGAGGTGGTTGACAGGTTCATGTCATTGACGTCATGAGTGTTCATGTCTGACATGATTTTGTAACTTTTGGCTCAGGTCTGTCAGGCTCAGGACATCGCATGCATTCCATGATATCGGACTGAGTGACTCACTCACATATCGGACTGACTGACTCACTCACATATCGACCGACTGCTTACTTCACAGACTCCCCTTCCCAAAAACACACTGTCCAGTTCGCGGTGCCTGACACGTGGCCTGACACGTGGCCTGACATGGAGGAGGTCTCTGGCATCGATGCGGCTGAGTCTGTGATGTGGACTCGTGAGGACTGGCCAGAAGGACTCATCATTTCCTATGGGACTGACGCCATCTACAGCACAACAGTGGATGGAGACGGTGGCCTGTTGAACATTCAAGTCATCCTTTCAACTCTTTTTTTGGTGGGCCAGACCAGGTCGGTGAAGATGTGCAGTTTCTTAATTGCCTCACTGAAACGCTCCATTGAGGTTCTCGCGGATTGATGGTGATGCCACAACGGATTGCGCAAGAAGCGTCTGACTGCAGGGCGGTCCTTCTCACACACGACATGGAGGCGATCTGGCCTGACAGCGACAGTGTGGCAGGATTTCTCCAGAATCCCAAGCTGGACGGCTCCTATGGTTCCTTGACTTAACGTGTTTAACAATTTTTAAATAGTGTTTGTGGCATGACTCTTAGGCCATTTTGGCACCGCACCTGACTATGTAGCCTTTGAGCTCCTCTCCCTGACTGCAGGTAGCCTGACGGAACCGGAGTGCCTGTTTGACGTCCTGTCTGACCCCATGGCCCGGAAGCCTGCTTGCGCTGGAGTCCTGTGTGGCTTGACGGCGATTGCATCGGCAGGAGTGGGTCGGGCTGGCACCAAGCCTTGGTGGCTGTGCCTGACATGCTCCTTGGCCAACATGTGGCTGGCTGACTGCAACGTTTATGTTTTTTCACCTTAGCCTAATTGACGTAGAGGTTGTTTAAAAATAATTTAATGAGTTCAATGACAAAGACTTGGTTCAATTGTCTATTGAGGCAAGACTGGGAAGGTCGCTTCGCAAACTGTGGCGCTTCTGGTTGGCGGTCTAGTAAAGCAGCCAGTGTGGCTGGTTGACATTCATGGTCCCTGCGGGAAGCACCTTGCTGAGGTCCCAGAACTGTCTTCTAGTGTGAAGCTTGACATGAATCAGCCCTTACATTTTTAATTTTGAACAGGTGTTATTCGTGTTGAGTCATCCATCGCATTGGCTGGGTTTACTAACACTGAGCTGAGGAAGAGGCTGATGCTTGACTGGGTGCCAAAGTTCAACCATGATTTTGTCAACATGATAGTCATGAACGGCATGTGCCCGTCGCCACCACCAGCGCCTCAAGCGCCACCATTTGACGTCGAGGATGAGGTCCCAGAGTTTGACGAGGAGGAGGCGGAAGCGCCTGGGCCCATGTTTCAATAATGAAGATTTTTATTTTTGTCAATCAAAGTTTTTGGTTGCTTGATGGCTCACTCCTTGACTGACTGCTTGACTGTTAAGGTGTCAATGACCACAATGGCTAACACCATCAAAACACTGGCGCCTGACATCTATGTGGCTTTGCAACAGTTGAAAGTTGATTACTTTGCATGGACTGACAATTTGCAGCATTTGGAACATTTTCTTATTTTAAGTTGTTTTTAATTTAAATGTGTCAATAATTTGATTAGTCATTTACTGACTCTGATTGTCGGTTGGACTTAAGTTCATCTCAGGCCATGTATTCCGTCATGCATTTGGATGATCTCAGCCTGGCTAGCACCCGCGCGGAAGTGCCTGTCATTCTCAGTTTCTTGGCCTGACATGAGGTTGGCCCTCACAAACTTAGTTATTGTTTTAGTCAGACTTATGATGATGCTTTTTAGCCCAATCAGCTACATTGACTGGCATTGTCGCTCAACTCTAAGGAGAGGTGATGGGGAGGAGTGGCGGCAAGGGGACAAAGCAGGTGTGGCAAAACCCCAGCAGAGTCATTGCTAAGTTTTGCCGGGAAAGGTGTGACGAGTATCGCATGCGCTGCTCGGCTTAATTTAATGTTCACTTTTGACATTATTGCTTTGTCTTCACTTCAAAAATGTGTGATATGATTGATAAAACCATTAATTATAAAAATCAAGCTGACAAATTGTCGGAGTCAGCGTGCTGCTTAAGGTTGCAAGGAGAAGACTTATGGAGCAGTGCCTGACTACATGACGAGGAATGACCGCAGGGGCTCGGGCTCCAAGCGCCGCAGGCAGCCTCCGCCTGACGGGTCTGACGGGCCTGGCGCTTCTGCAGCAGCAGCTGAACCTGTGCCTCAACAGCAGTCAATGCCGACTGACCCTGAGCCGACGCCGACTGACCCCAGACAACCGCCTAGTGAAGAGTTTTTTTCGAATTGGTGGTTGGTGTCTGATGGCGGCGGGCCCTTGGTGGTGATGCCTGACTTCGGTCGTTGCATCAAAAAGTATCCCAAGGCTCCTTTGCGTGCCACCCCTCCAAAACTGAGAGGAACATTTGTCTTTGAAGTTAGGCATCCCTGGCATGCCCGGTCTGACCATGTGCTTCACAGCCCACCACCTTTGCCTTCATTGGAGAGTCAGAGTGAGCATGACTGTCGGCAGGAAGCCCCGACCAAGACACAAAGAGTGGCGTTCAAGGTCCCGCCTGACGAGTACTCTCCCTCTCCCACAGCAGCTGCGGAAGAACAACAAGACTTACCCTCCTCGGCGTGGGAGGCTTCTGCTTGGGAGAATCAGGGCGATCAAGAAAAGCCTGACCAGGCTGAGCCGGCTCCGTGCGAGGAGCAGGAGGAGGAGGAGCCTGACCTGCCAGAAGAGAGGCCTCAAATTGTGTCACCAACATCGCCTGCAGATGGTATGATTCCGGAAGAAGAAACGGCGGCTCAGACCAAGGCTGACACTGACATCAAGGACGGAGGAAAGGCTGGCAATGCGGAGGGAGATACCCCAAAGGCCAAGGGCAAGGGGGGGGATAGCCCAGACACCAAGGGCAAGGCTGCACCTAAGGGCAAGCATGAGCTTGACTCAAAGGGCAAAAGCAAGGATGACTTCAAGGGCATGAAGGGGCAGGGGAAGGAGGATTTCCAGGAGGGGAAGGACGACTTCAAGGGTAAGGCTGCACCTAAGGGAAGGGCAAGGAAACGGACTATGAAGAAGACAAGGGAAAGGGCAAGCCTGGTTTTGAGTTTGACTCAAAGGGCAAAGGCAAGGCGATGGATGACTTCCAGAAGGGGAAGGATGGTGGCAAGGAGATGGGGAAGGTTGACTTCCAGAAGGGGAAGGGGAAGGATGACTTTCAGAAGGGGAAGGATGACTTCCAGAAGGGGAAGGGGAAGGATGACTTCCAGAAGGGGAAGGATGACCTCCAGAAGGGGAAGGATGACTTCAAGGGCAAGTCTAAAGCCAAGGGAACGGACCATGAAGAATCAGAAGGCGGCAAGGGGAAGGATGGTGGCAAGGGGAAGGCTTCATGGCATGACGTTGAAGACTTTGAGCCCGGTGAGGAAGACGACGACGATGAATGGGGCGAATGGGGACAATCTGACCAGAAGAGTGACTTGAATGACAATGATCATGGCTGTTGTTCATTTCTTATTTATTTAAAGGTGCCAGTCATTGATGTTCATGGCCATGCCTCATTGAGCAGGTTCTTACTACAACCAGGATCATCGTCAGCAGTGGGGCTGGGAGCATTATGGAGATCCTGCCCAGTACCCATGGCGGAGAACTCAGCCTTTTGAGACTTGGCAGAAATAGAGTTCAACAGCCTCTCACATCTCTTTGGGTGACATGTTAGCCCCTAAGCAAAGTTTGATGATGATGACAAGCATTGTCGAAACCTCAGGCGACTGACCATGGAGGCTTCTTTGTACCCCGTGATGGTGGCACTGGTACATGGTCGCAAGGTGCATGGTCCCAAGACAATTGGTCCGAAGGGCATGACGAATGGCACAGTGGCGAATGGTCTCAAGGGCATGACCAATGGTCCCAAGAGCCTGACAAATGGCACCAAGAACCTGACAATTGGTCCCAAGGGC